TCATATCAGGAGAAAGAGTCATGGAAATGAGAATCAAAATGAAGAACCGCACTCTCTGCTCAGGTGTTGTCTCCTCCATCTCAAAACCACGGGCTAGAACCGAAGCCAACTGTGATCGCCCGCTCCTTGGACCACCTCGAGACACTGGCTGGGTCCTGATATGCTGAACAATCGGACCTACTAAATCGACCGCCTCAACCGCTCCCCAAGAAAGATTAGACATTTGTGCTACAGCCCGGTCAGTGAAGCGTATACCACTGATCATGCTAAAGTCCAGAGGGGTCACTGTCATCTCCCTCCAAACAAAGTGAAAGGTGTTGGTAGTATCCCAAAAATACTCCACCAACGCGCGAATGATTGTTGCACCACAGCCCCGGGGGCTGCGAAACCCTACGATCGCCGAATAAAAGTCTACTAGACCAGCTGATTCCCATAAGGCGTTCGTAGCAGGATCCCTCGTAATAATTCGATGAAGTAGAAGAATCAAATCTCCGGCTCCAGAACCGCGTTGGAGAAGCGTGCCGTCAACTATGCCGGCAAGTGGACGATGAGAAACGTGGTTCTCACGACATAAAACCAACTAATCTGATTTTTACGGAGGTGGAGCCCACCTACCTCTACCCGTAGAGGCCCGATGCTCAAACTCTAAGACATCATCATCCATACCCTCGGTAATCGTGGGAGTGTCCTCCCGAAAAGCCTGACGCCGGCCATGAGTGGAAAGATCACGATCTCGTCGTCTAGGTATGCTATTATAAAAATAAAAATCTTAATGCTTAGCATCATTTCCTAAGATATTTAATTATTTATATCGAGTTTCATTTTAATAAAAAAACCTAAATGCTTAGCATCATTTCCTAAGTTATTTAGTTATTTATTGCATTTTCTATTATACGCTCAATTCTTGGTGATTTGCCACAGGTAGTACCAAAAATGGTGATTTGTTCAATTCTTCACCAAATAATGCAATTTTTGTCTCAAATCGCTCACAAACACACATACATACATATACAAGTAAATTCATGGCAAGAATTTCAACATAAACCTCAAAATCAAAAAATCCCCAAATTTATTTTTAAGGGTTTTTTTTCATGAAATTACTCATTTGAAGCAAATTCGAGACAAAACCAAAGGAAACTTACATAGATCCTTGTGGAGAACCAAAAATGAAGAAAGTAGAATTTATGAAGATTTGAGCTCCAAAAGCTCGAAAAGCCGTGAAGACAGCAGCGACTACCGCAACACGATCAGCAAAAACCGTGACACGGTAACTAAGGCCCGTGTCACGATGAGCCTGGGACGTGACAGAGCTCCGGCGGTAGCAGCAACGACTTCATGTGACGGCGATATATAGCAGCAATGAGCTCTGAACAACAACAGTAGCAGCGGAAATAAAAAACAGAAACAAGAACCCCAAAACCGCCGTGTCACGGCCAGGTACTCCGTGTGACGGGAACCACAATCGTGCGTCGGTTAATCCTTGTCGTGGCTCGATAATTTAAGCAGCTTAAAAAAAATATGGAGAAGAGGAAGTGCGGAAGTAGCAAGAAAATGGCAGAGAGCAGCTTGAATTTAAAGATAAAAAAGCATCATGTTTCCCGTACGACGGTTTTCGTTACCATGTAACGGAAACATATTAACGTGGCGCACGTGGTTTTGACTGGTCAAAGATGCCAGTTGATTGATTTGCAAGCAACAGATTTCCCGTGTCAAGGGAATTTGTTCCGCGTGACGGGATCCCTGCCGTGTCAAGGGAATCTTGCTTCGTGACACGATGGTTCCGCGCGTGTCCTGCACGTTCCTTGAAGCTGTCAGCGAATATTCCTGGAATTTTGGCTAAGATTGCGCAATTTTCCGTACAAATTGGACAATTAGTAAATCACGCGGAAAATTTTAACTGACGTTTAAAGGGTATCAAAATTACTATTTGGCCCCTAGTAAACGTCAAAGTCAATTTGCCAACACTTTAAACACCTGATATGGTCGGATAGTCGACTTGAAGGTGTAAATCATCTATGGCCCACGTTCGGGGATAATCGAACCATCATACACTTGCAAATTTCAGCGATTACAGTAGTTGTCGGCTTTCCTCAAGTATTGCCACCGGTTAACTGGTGGCAAAAAAGTTTAATACCAAAAAAAAAATCCGCCAATTGTAATTGCCACCGGTTAACCGGAGGCAATAATTGTTTTTGCCACTGGTTTTGAACTGGGTGCTTTTGCATCAGATTATTGCCACCCCCAAATGACCACCGGTTTAAAACCGGTGGCATGGGGGGTTTTGAACCGGTGGCTAATTGTTTTTTTCTACTAGTGGAATTATCGGTGTATTTTTCTTCAAGTATAGAAAACCGCCAAGTCGGCTTCCCTCAAGCATGGAAAGCGTTAACGATGGATTTTTCTTCAAGTATAGAAAACCGCGAAGTCGGCTTTCCTCGAGCATGGAAAGCATTATTGGTGGATTTCTTCAAGCATAGAATGACACCAAATTCATACGTCGACTTTCCTCATGCATGGAAAGTATCATCCGGTATATTTCTTGAGGCTTAGAAAGCTACCAAATTCCTCAGTCGGCTTTCCTCAGGCATGGAAAGCGTTTTAAAAAACGTCATCTGGTGGATTCCTTAAAGCATAGGAAGCTGCCAAACTCATTTGTCACCGATACACTGGTGTCAGATACGTATTCTATCTTTTTACTCTTTTATCTGTGGAATTAACATTTTTCTGCAGGTATCGGCGTATACAGAGTGATTTAGGATCGCAGAACGTCTAAAATCATTCACCGTCCCTATAGGCTACTTTGACTATCGTTTTTGAAACTGACGTTGCTACAAACTCAGTCAACGTGGGGCCTTCTATAGACACTTAAAAATGTCTCCCCAAAACAAAACCCGATGATGAACAACCTTTCACCACCACTGTTGGTCGGGTTATGTATTTAATCCCGAGAGTGCTTTAAAAATCGTATTTAATTAAATTTATTTTTTTAAATAGTCCATGGATCTGTCTTGATGTTTAGTCAAAGCATAGATTTTTTTATTTCAGCCCAAACTTTTTTTTATTTCATTGTTTTACTATTTATTTTGGCTTAAACCTTTTATTTATTTTATTTACTTATTTTCTTATTTTAGCCCAAATAATTATAAATCAGAAAATGGCCCGAAATTATCAATCGACACTTAAAATGCTGAACGAAATTAGGGTTAAAAATGGATTTAGACGGAAAAACGAACAAAAAATTCCCGCGTCATGGCAATAGTCCACCGTGTCACGGGAAACTGTCCCGTCTGATGGTGGGATTTCCCGTGCCACATGAAACCTGCTGTGACATGGGAATTTCCGTGTCCGTTCCGTGTAAACCCTTCACGTGTTTTATTCCCCGTACCCTAAAATATTTCCCGCGTCATACAACTGTTCACTGCGTCACATTAATTTTTCCCGTCTGATAGTGGGAATTCTCTTGTCATGGTACACAGTGCCGTGTCACGGTATACTTTTTTAGGGTTTTTTTTTTATCATTTTAGGGGTCCATGTGTTCCCTCAGCACATTTTTTCTATAAATTCCCCCTTATTTCTGATGTACGAGGCATCAATTAATTCTCTATTTTTTTCTCTCTTCGATGCTCTAGCCTAAACACTAGACTACCCTTCTTCTTTTAAAATTCCTTCTTCAAGCACTCCAAGAAGTCCGTACTTTACTCGTGGTTCTATCCTTAAGCCAAGGCGTGAAAGGTAGAATTGTTTGAGGGTTTGGCCCAAAATCAACTCTACTTAATTTAATTTAATTTAATTATTGTTCTATTATTATTTCCTTGAAGTTACTAACACGTTTATTATTTTGTAGTTCCAAGCAAACAAAATCAAAGTAAGAATTATGTTCCCCTTTATTTCTATTATTTTTCTAACAATTTTGTATTGTTAGAATTATTGTTAAATTGCTTCCAATATTGATGTTATTCTATTATATTCATTGATCACTATATTGTATGTTTAAAGGGAATATGTAATTGAAAATCACGCCTAATAAGATAATTTGGACAACAGGATTAGGTGCCTTTTAATCTTGTTGTTTGATCAAGTGATCACAATATATTAGAATTATGTGTTGCATTAATATTCAACCAATTTAGCTAAACAATAGTTTGTAGCAAATTGAATATTTTGTTTGTATGCCTTTCAGATTACAGGAATGCTTTTCACTATAAGAATCGAGTAGAGGCCAATTCGGGCGAATGTGACTCCATGACTCACTTCGTACCATCATCCCCGATCCTCCTTTTGTGGTTCCGAACCATATGGAGTTAGTAATCTGATGGATTATGAATGGGGTGTAACCTTCACGGGTCAATCGTTGTTGCCTTCAATGTCCCTTATCGTGGTTGCCTTTTTATGATCCGTGAACGGTTTACAACTTTACTTGTTGGCGGCTCCCAACTTTATTTGTCCCTAGTCGTATTATGTCAAATCCCACTTCCTATGAGTGACAAGCATAATCACAAATGCTTTTAACGTAGGCGCACTTCGAGCGACGCCTACAGACATGAATGGGAGACACCCACCTAGAGCTTGATATGGGGAATATGATTCCCGCATCTAAAAGCTTAGTAATCTCTTTCTTCACTACCTCCCCCATTTGGGGATGTTGTTTCTGTTGTCGCTCATTAGAACGAAGAGCACCCTCCTCAAGGGTTATGTGGTGTGCACATAAAGCAGGGCTTATACCTTTGAGGTCATCTATGGTATATCCTAAAGCACCTTGGTGCCTTCTCAAAACACGCATAGTTCTTGAGCTTGGCTTTCGCTCAAAGATGCACTAACAATCACGAGATAAGTAGAATTTGGGCCGAAGAACTCATACCTATGGTGTGATGATAGAGATTTGAGCTCTCCATGGGAACACCTTTACCTTCCTTGGTTGAAGCTGCTTGCAAAGCCTCTTGAATTGAGATTTTCATGCATATTTTCTTTTCACTTCCCTTAACACTCCCATCTGGCAAATTCTAATACAAAGACATTTCCTTGCTAGGAGCACCTATCTTTTTCTTATTCAACAAAACGCACTCGAGAGGATCATTAGTTGTGAGCAAGTGCTCATGCATGGAATGTACAAGATTATCTAAAATTTTAACTCTCACGCAATTCTCAAGAGATGAAGAAGGATATTTCATACTTTCATTCAAATCAAATTCAACTCCCGCATCTCCAATTTTTAGTGAAATCTTAGCACTTTTGACATCAATCAAAACACCCGAAGTAGAAAGAAGCGGTCTACCAAAAATAATAGGAATTGTAGAATCCTCATCTATCTCAAGGACCATAAAATCTACCAGAATGATGAACTTTCCTACCCTTAAGGGAACATCCTCCACCTTACCCCTTGGAATCCTAATTGATCTATCGGCTAATTGCAAGGTAATGTTGGTAGGTAAAAGTTCTCTGTTCTCTAGTCTTTGATAAACCGAGTATGGCATAATGCTAACACTAGCTCCTAAGTCACACAAAGCATTATCAATTTGCATTTTATAAATAGCAAAAGGTATAGAAAAGTTTCCGGGATCCTTCAACTTGGGTGGAATTTTGTTCATTATGATTGCACTACCATTCTCGGTCAAGCTAACCGTTTTCGCCACATCACATGTCCTATTTCCACTCAAGATCTCCTTAAGGAACTTGGCATGATTAGGCATTTGTTCTATCACATCGGTGCAATGAAAAGTAAGATGAATTTGTCTAAGAATCTCTATAAATTTCCCAAATTGCTCATCCAATTTGTGCCTATTAAACTTTTTGGGGTAAGGGAGCTTGGGCTTGTAGACTACTTTTTCTTTATCTTTCACCTTCTCAACTTGTTCCTTAGAAACTTCCTCAACCAAAGGGTTCTCATCTTCCTCAATCTCAATTTGACTCTTGCTAGGACTCTCTTTAGCAACACTCTTCTTAGAAACCTTAATCTCAAGTACCTTACCACTCCTAGTCACAATTGCATTTATAAGGCTCTTAGGAGCAAAGCTTGGTGAAATTAAAAAAAAAATTGTAAATTCCTTAAACTCACTAGCCAATTGAGAAATTTTGGTCTCTAACCCCTTATGGTAAGTCAACATGTCATTGAACTTCTCATTACTTAGGAACATGTAGGTGTTCAACAATTTGGCTTGCTTCTCTATGATATCCTCCAAGAAACTCCTAGAAGAAAATGGTTTATCATAGATATTATCACTTTCGCCTTGCGTATTTGGAATAAATCCAAGTGGGGTAACTCTTTGAACATTTGTTTGAAGATTTCCCGTACTTTGATTGCTCTAATTACCTCAACATTGATTTTGGCCACAATCGTGATTATGGTTACCATAACCTTGTTTACAATCCCCATATTATTGGCCATGATTTTTACCATTATAACCATGGTTGTTATAGATACCACAAAACCCTTGGATTCCATGGTTTTTATAACCAATATTTTGGTTATAATTATCATAGTTTCCTTGGTTGTGAAATTCCTATTCCTAACATTCCTTTGAACATCAAATCTTGATCAAACATTATTATTATTAGCATCATAATTCACCTGTTCATTCTCATTCCTAACATATTCATCATAAGGACCATTAGGGCAAATAGAAGCATCATGATCATTCATTCCACATAAATCACAAGACCAACATTCTCTAACCATGCAACAAGAAGAGGGAAGAGTGTTATGGAAAGAAGGTGTAACTCTCCGCTTAATTTAGGAGGGAAGAGTCGGTGCTTGTGAGGTTGCACTCTCGAGCTTAACCTTGATAGAAACTACCTACTTCCCTATGTCCGAAATTTGAGTTGACAAATTGTTAATAGCATTAAGTTGTTCAAATGAGCATCCCGCAGTGCTACTCTTGTTTATCGGCTCTTTCTCACCATCTTGCCATTCCATGTAGTGTCTAACTACATTCTTAATGATATCTACAACCTCCTCCTCGGTCTTGTTCATGATTGGGCCTCCAGCTCCGGCATCATAACTTGACCTCCCTTGAGGACTCAAACTACTATAAAATATTTGAATGATTAGGTAAGTGGGGATTCCATGGTGAGGACACTCGCGTTGATACTCTTTGTATCTCTCCCATGCTTCATAGAGGCTTTCACTAGACCTGTGCTTGAAACCTTGAATCAAAACTCTTGCCTCCGTCGTGTTCTTTTGAGGGAAGAAACGGGAAAAGAATTCTTTGGTGACTCCATCCCAAGTTCTCAAAGAATTAGGCTTCACTTCCTTGTCTAGCCACTCTTGAGCTCTTCCAATTAGAGAGAAAGGAAATAGCTTGAGCCTTATGAATTCTTGAGCAACCCTGTTCACCTTAATTTTGTTGCAATAATTCTCGAACTCCTTAAGATGATTAAGAGGACTTTCATATATTCCTGCACTATATTGCCGCCTTTCAATCAAAATTATCATTGCCGGCTTGATTTCAAAATCACTATCTCCGATCAATAATGGAGAAATCCCGCTCTCATACTTGTAAGCACCCATAGTGCCCAACTCCTTCAATGTAACCCTCGGGACTTCTCCCATGTTAACTTGTACACGCAAACTCGAAGGAAAATATTAGTAACACGGCTACAAATGTAGCCAAAATAAAAAAATCTTTTGTATTTTCGAAATTTTGTGAAATTGACTCAATAACAATAGCAAACAACTACGCCGTTCCCCGGCAAAACGCCATTTTGACTACGAGTGGAGACTGGGTCATTAGACTAATCTTCCCTAGGCCAATCAAAATTTAAATCACTCAACACACCCTTGTAACTAGTATAAGGGTAAGTCAAGGGTTGAACTTCAAGGAATGGGAGGTGAATGTTAATGCTAAAGCTAAGCTATTTCGAAGGTTATGGCGAAGTGTTGGGTAACAATTCAACCAATACAACAAAGGGAAAATCAAAGTACCTAGGAACTAGGAATTAGGATCCACATGCATATTTAATGAACACCCATTAATTGGGATACGCAATGATTGATTCAAGAAATGCAAAGGAAGAACGATAATGCAACCAACTACGAGAGACTCTAACGAGCTATAATAGTTGTTCTCCTAGAGGTCTAACTAGCGCCAACTACGAGAGACTCTAGCTAGGAAATTTACTAGACAGCTCAATCGACAAATGCTATACACAAATAAATTGTCCTTATCAATGTGAACTTACAATGCAATCTAGGATGAAAAACAAGGTTGATCACTCCTTACAAATCATACACATACACAAAATTAATCAACCAATTTAATCACACACAATTAAAAACCCCCAATTAATTATGATCCATTACTTATACATTCTTTACCACATTCCTAGCAAGCAAACTACTCACAATCCATTAATGAAATAAAAAGCAAAACTACACAATTCATTAAATTCATCATCATCATTCTAATCAAACTAATCCAATCAAAAATTCAATTAAATTCAACAATCAACAAAATTAAGGAAAACAAAGCTAAAGATTGAATTAAATTGAAAGAGATTCTTTCAAACTTTATCCAAATAAAAGGAATTATACTTGAAATCATCAAATTGATATATTCGTTAATCAACAATCATTAACCTTCAAGTTTCTCACTCTACAAAAACTAAGAATTAGAGTTTCTCTCTCTAAGAAAATCTAACCTAATTCTAAAATAAATATTTTTTTTCCTCTAAAAATAGAAGGAAAGTCTATCTATAGTAAATCTAACAAAGAGAAGGTAGTTAGATCGTCCAAAGAGACCTGTAAAGACGCGACCATCACCAAGGAGTATGTGCGGCCGCGTATTAGAGGTTACAAAACAGAGATCCTGAGAGGCATGGTCGCGCGCACCTGCGCCTTGGAACAGGGCATCCTCCTTCACCTTCAACTTTGCTCTTCCTCGTGCGCTCCATTTGATGATGTTGATTAACACGGAAGGAGGCAGTATTCTAATAGCCTCCACAGTGGGTTCGACACTAAGAATAGTGTACCCACTACTTGCATGCACTAGCTAGAAGACTTGGACTTTACACTCCTTCAAACTTAAACTTCAAATGGTAAGCAAGAGGCATCTCAAACGATGTAAAACTTGAAAAGGAGACTCGGGAATCCACAAATTATGATCTTAACAAGAAAAATGAAACAAAATAAACAAATAAAAGAGAAAATAGCAGAATAAAATAAGTAATGCATAAAAATAGAAAATCAACAAAGAAAATGAAAACTAAAGAAATAAAGAGTAAAACTAAGGAAAAACTATAGAAAAGAGCTATAAAATAGCATGAATTTCACACTAAGGAGGATCAAATGAGTGCTATAAATGACACTCATCACATTCAAAAACCTTAAATATGAATTATCATAATAGAGAACCTCAACTCATACGTGAGAAGTTTGAAAATTAAAAAATAAAAAAACCACAATCTCAATCTCACTACAGCTAGTTAACTAGCAGCTACACCCCGTAGTGGATGTCCATACTTTTTCGCAAGGATTGAGGGAGTGTCCATGTCACATAAACTTAATATGAATATCAAACCATTAAACCTCAACACTACATGTTTGCATAAAATCAAAATGACAATTTCACATACCCCTTTACGCAGGATGCATCATGATTCGATTGTTGTGGCCTTCGTACTTAATAGCCCATTTATTTGTGTAGGTTTTTGACACAACACTAATGTACTAGGTACCAATTTTCCTTTGATAGTGAACAACATCATGGAAAGCAACCCGACAAGCAAATTCTCCATCACATTGCAACATGATTGGACCATTACTGGAAGAAAATATAAAATAATCAAATGGCAGTAACTTATATACTTAAATTGATAAAAAAAAAATGGCAAAACATATATTTAAGTTAACATTTCAAATATTTCCATATTATTGATACATATTACAATACTTTATCTCAAGGTGCCAATGATATTAAATTAAATTCATTATAGTTACTACTTACGTGCCACTTTCCGAAGACCACACTCTACAATAAGTGATGAGGTTCGTGTGTGCAGTCCCTAACGTATGAATCTTCCGATTACCAATGTAATCAGGAGAAATGACCTTATTAATCTCCCCTTCTCCTCTAACACTGTCATCTATTCCATCATCAACCTACAAGTTATCATTCACTTTCTTCTCAAGATTGCTCCCTTCACTAGGCACTTTCTTATCCATTTTGAAACCCCCTTAACCAGGTATATCCTTCTCCACTTCTGGATATTTAGCATCCTTACCAAAATCCAATCCAAATCCTTCAACCAATTTAACAGCTCCACCATCTTCTTTCATCTTATCCCCGTTTGTCTCCTGCTATACCTCATTCACTCCAACAAAAGGAGCTGCTTCATTGATTTGTGACTGATCCATGCGACCATCAAGCTGATCTGTTGTCTACCAAATTTATCAAACACCGCGAATGTAACTTCTTGAATCACATGTCCTATCGAGTCTTTTGAACTGATACCAACCACTTTCTGCTACTGAAATGTACGTCTTTTCAAGCTGACCCTTGTTCACATCAGGTGACATTAGAATGTGTTCCTCAATAGACTCAGAGCTTAAACTCATCACATTAAGAACTGGAAACCATTCAATTGGTGACTTCTTCTAAAGGGCATGCCTCAAAAAACCTCTGTTAGCAGCATTCAACATGGTCTCAAATTTCTCAAAATAGGGCTTCAACATTTTCAGCACCTACACTCACATAGTAATGGAATCACAAACGGAACAACCATGTAACATCGAAAACTATTTATTTTTATCATTTTCAGTCAGTATATGGTATTAGAGGTTTTGGATTTCTCCACTCCATAAAGATGCAATTTAAAATACCATACTTAGGGTTACTTTGGGTTATACAAAACAAATATACCAATAATAACAAATATCTATGATATATGTTTTGACTACTAGAGAGATATATACATAGTACTCACTATTTACTAAAGTTGGCAGCTAAATTCTAAAACATTACGTCATTTCCAACCCTCACTTGTAATGAATCCACATAGCCCCTAGCAACCCATGGATGGCTTTCCCCATATGCTACATCAAGCAGCTAACAAATATAAACAACAAATGAATCAACAACATGGTAAAAAGGAATACAGGGGTAGATTGGTTTGGCACATTCACTTACTTTCAATTTTCCATAATCTAAAGATGGCAACTAATCTGCATGAATAGCTGCACTAATTTTCTTCTCAATCCACACACAAATTCTGGGAAATCTCCCCCAACTCAGTGGTGGCAACGCGAGATGATCCATTAATAAATCTACACAACCAAAGTCATATAACTCCTTTTCTACACAATCGATAGCATATCATTCCATTTCCAATTAAATTTACAACAATCCAACGAGCAATAACAAGTTTAGAGAAAATCACCATTAGAAATAAACCGTATCTGCACCACCAGCAACAAAGCCTTTAGTGTCAAAATTTTTGTGAAAGTGATGCACACAGCCCATCAACCAACAATGCACACAAGAATACCAATCGTACTGACTGGCTACAACACCAACAGTAATAGCATGCAACATGATGATACCCATGCTCTGACCATTTGTAGTAGGACACAAGATACAACCCAACACAACTATTAAAAAGGCCCTCATAAAATGGTCCTTCTCCTCCTATATTCCGATTGGCATCAAGCCTAAATAATCATAGGCCTTTTGTATCAGAGTATTTTCTCAGGCACTAGGATTCACCTTATTAAGATTCCTAACAATGTCATAAACTTTACTCTGCATAACTACATCCTCAACTGTAACCGGCACGAGTTTTGGACCCCGTGGGAGACCAAATATGCACCTCCATTTTTCAGGTCCTAATGGCAACTCTTTCCCATAACCTCCTACAAATAACCTCCTCTAATGATCAAACCTAGTCATGAGTCAGTAATAAAAACTACGATCAATTTTTTTCACTTTCAACATTAGCAACCAGCTAAAACCACAACCCTCCACTCGCTCAATTTTCTTCTTCTCAGTCCCAACACAGATATCACATCATAAAAATCAGAAACACGGTAATTGTAATTTGCAGACTGTTCTCAAAATCAAACAAAACAAGCCATCATCAAAACAACACAGAAACATACAAGGGAAATTAACTCGGAACGTTAAGATGAGTTTACCTTCCCTCACTTCCTCAGCTGAATACTAACCCACCTCTTCATCTTCACTTTATCACCGAATGATGGGCCCGGTTCCAAGTTAACATACAATCCAAAAAAAAAAGACATAAATAAATAGTCACCTAACTTCAAAAAATTTTAAAACACTTATTACTTTACATCACCCAATCTTGTTCTACTACAATCAACCCTTCCACTACAAAATGTCGCCTCTCTACTACTGTCGGCCTCTCTACAAATTTCTTATCTACTGATGCAGGACGCTTTACCATTCTAGAGATCCTCTATTGTTGCTGAACCGGTCTGCTCCGAGTAGTGGGCACAACAATGGGCAGTAGTTTGTTGTTGAACAACTTTCTGCTTACGGACATTACGAGTAACTACGTACTACACCTCATCCTCGTATTCACCGGCTTCTAACT